CAACTGGACAAAGAGCTCTCTCCAGCCCAGTCAAACTATTTCATTCCTTGGAATAGATTTGAACTCTGTCACGATGAAGGCTCGCTTATCCACACAGCGCGCGCGCCGTGTTCAGCGTCTAGCCGCCTCCTTTCGGATGGGTACCCACATATCCCTGAAATCCTTTCAGAGGATGCTGGGTTATATGGCCTCAGCCTCCGCTGTGCTACAGCTGGGTCTCCTGCACATGCGCCCCCTTCAACTCTGGTTAAAGAGCCGCGTATCCCACCGCGAGTGGACTACGGGCTGCCAGATTATCAAGGTTACACAGACATGTATCACTGCACTGCAACCATGGTCAGTAACCGATTGGTTTCAGAGGGGCGTTACCATGGGAACCTTTTCTCGCCGAAAAGTCATCTCGACAGATGCATCCAACACGGGTTGGGGTGTGGTCTGCGAGGGCTCACCGGCCGCCGGCCAGTGGTCGAGCCAGGAGAGTTCCATACACATAAACTGTCTGGAAATGCTCGCGGTCGAGAACGCGCTGCTGCTTTTCCTCCCGCGCATACACGGTCACCACGTCCTGATCTGCTCAGACAATATGGCCGTGGTATCCTACATCAACCGTCAGGGCGGGGTCAGATCCAAGAATCTCTTTCATCTGACGCGCCGCATCCTACTGTGGTCCCAGAGTCACCTGCTTTCGCTCACAGCGACGCACGTACCGGGCCATCTGAACGACGGTCCAGACATGTTGTCCAGGAACCTTGTCTCCCCCGGAGAATGGTCCCTGCACACTCAAACAGTTCTAACATTGTGGCACCTATTCGGCAGAGCAGAGATAGATCTTTTCGCGTCAGAAGAGAACGCTCAGGAGTGGCCCCGCCGCCCGCTCTATGCTTTTCCCCCGATCTCTCTGCTACCGCAGGTCATTCAGAGAATCAGGGACACACGCCACCCGGTGCTCCTCATAGTCCCGCGCTGGGAGAATCAGATTTGGTTCCCGGAGCTCACGCAGCTGTCACAGACAGCCCCGTGGCCTATTCCAATCAGAGCAGATCTCCTCACTCAAGCTCGCGGCACGATCTGGCATCCCCATCCACAGCGCTGGGCGCTTCATGCATAGGTGACCAACAACTACTCGTCGATTTGCCAGAAGGAGTTCTGAACACGATCAAACATGCCAGAGCGGAATCTACTAGAAAGCTCTATGCTGCAAAATGGTCTGTGTTCTTTAGATGGTGCACCGATAAAAACTTGGACCCACGGACGTGCGAGGTCTCGTCTTTGCTCATGTTCATTCAGGAGATGCTGGATAAGGGCAGGTCCCCATCCACTCTTAAGGTTTACGTGGCAGCCGTCACGGCGTTCGCTGAACCCCGGCGCGCCCAGTCGTTGGGCAAAGACGAGCTAATCATCCGCTTCCTCAGGGGAGCCAGAAGGATGAACCCCCTACGGTGCCGGTCTGGGGTCTTTCTATAGTTCTAGAAGGTCTGAAAGCCCCACCGTTTGAACCACTCGAGTCCGTGAATCTAAAATACCTCTAGCTAAAAAACATTTTTCTGACTGCCCTCGCCTCAGTAAAACGCGTGGGGGACATTCACGCGCTGTCTTCAAGCGCCGCGTGTCTTGAGTTTGGACGTAATGACTCCATTGTCATTCTTAAACCTAGACACGGTTATGTTCCAAAAGCGATTGGTACCCCCCTCAGGGCGCAAGTGATCGGCTCTGCCTGCATCCGATAGCGAGTGTGACACTGATCGCCTCTGACCGGTCCGGGCTCTGAGAGTGTACACTACACGCGCTGCTGCGTTCAGACGCTCGGAGCAGCTGTTTGTGTCGTTCGGCGGCCGCACCAAGGGTCTAGCCGCCTCTAAACAGACACTGTCTAGGTGGATAGTGGATGCTATCGCCTCTGCTTACGCCTCAAAAGACCTGCCTTGCCCGCTGGGCGTCAGGGCTCATTCCACCAGAGGCATGGCCTCATCGTGTGCATGGTCCTGCGGAATTTCCATTCACGACATTTGTGTGGCTGCGGGATGGGCCTCCCCCTCCACCTTTGTCAGATTCTATAACTTGGAAGTCCCCGCCTTACAGGCGAAATTACTGGCGGTCTAATACTATACAGCTCTCCTACAAGAAGCTGCACTATTGGGAGTCCTATCACAACCGGTTCGCCCCTTGTGCCTCCCCCTATGTGCTTATGCATTATACGTTACGGCCCGCTATGCCGGCCGCCTTAGGGGTGTATGCATTAGATGATAACGGCCGCTATGCTGGCTGGATATTGTCTTCTTCCACTTTTAGATTCCCCCAGTGTTTTTTCCCCCTGGGATGCTTAGTGGTTACATAGCGCGCACGGCGTTGACCAGATGTTCCCGTAGCGTAAGCTAGCTTACGCAATACGAGAGAACCTCTCGTAAGAGAACAAATCGGTTACCTAACGTAACCTCGGTTCTCTCGATGAGGGAACGAGTATTGCGTTCCCGGCCGTGCTTGCGCCACCAGCGTTTCGCTTCATGCTGAAAGAAATCAACGACTGAGCCTGGGAGAGCCAGTTTTATACACTATAGCCACGCCCCTTTCGGCGGGCTCTGACGCAATGAGCGAGCGCCGTCCGCTCATTGGCCGCGGGCTCAGCGCCGCTCTCCCATAGGCTCGTGCATTTTCTCTGAGCGAACCAATGAGCTGCTAGCTAGCCCCGCTCATGGTCTGCCTCAGAGATACTGTCTTGACAATGATTACAAAATTATGGAATAATTTTTTGGCTTCAACTTCTCAGCAAAAATGAATCTTTCCGTAGCGTAAGCTAGCTTACGCAATACTCGTTCCCTCATCTAGAGACAACCGAGGTTACGTTAGGTAACCGATTCGTTTTCTCATTTTTCTACTTTCAATATCAAATCGAAAAACGAATGAACGCAACGTACACGGACCTGCATAGAACTTTTCTTTCTTTCTTTCTTTCTTTCAATGGAGAATGAAAGAGGCCTGAATCGGGATGATTCTTTATTTCAGGTAGGCTAATAAAAACGTAGAATACCAATTTTAGATTGTGAATAGAACTCATAATTAACAATTTTTCTTTTTAAAACTTATTCATTGAAACAACAAACTGCAACATTTCACCCCTTTCGGACGCATCACCCGATTGAATGGACATTATCAGTGGTTATCGGCCCATTCGTATGGGCCAGTAGGGCCCTACTGTGCCTTTTAGCAGGTGCAGTGGGTTGTTTTCTATTCACATCGCTGATCAGCATCATACAGGAAGACTCTCGATCCAGTCCCCCAGGAATACAGTCCGCCGTCAGACCTCAAACCTTTCAGGTACTTTCAGCGACTTTCAGGTAAAATGACTGAAAATTAAGACATTTTCAACTGTTCTTATTTAGTTTATGAGCTAAAAAAACATTTTTAAAAACTGTTATACTAAAGCTATAATAAGGTAACATAAAAGATTTTAAACGAAACGCACCCTTTTTTTTCATTTGCATTTACTCTATTTACCTGTGACGTTGTGCAAAGAAATATGCTGAGGCTGGATCCAAACGCAGTTTAGCTTTATTAACAAACTTAGGAACAGGATACAAGACTAGAAGCAGGACTCGAGAATTCAAAAACACCAACGTTCACATACATAAATTCAACAACCAACAAAGACAGGGCAGAAACACAGGGCTTAAATAATCAAGGACAAAACGAGCTAGACAAGATAACAAGGGGGCGTGAGAAATACGAAACCCCTGGGATTAATAATCGACGGGGAATTACTAATAACGAAAACACACAAAACCACATCATGACATTACCGGTCAAGCTAGCATTACAGTTTACTACAAAAACGTTGTTGGTTTTTTAATGGAAACAAAACTTACTGCCAATTTAACGTTAGCTTACCCCATGGCTAACTAATGAGATTAAAAAGTTAGCAGATGAGGGGGAAAAACGATTTATTACACCATGAGTTTCCTGTAAATTATACCTTTAGCCTTAAACTGGCGTTCGGTGTAATGACTACACTGTACATATATTTTGTATCTGCTTCATACAAACTCTTCATTCAGGCTATATCATGCTCGTATATACCTAGCTACTGTATTGATAGTGATATCAGATTTGTGGTAACCGTTAGCTCTATTTTGATTTAGCCTAATATGTAACGTTAAGCTAGCAACAACAACAGGCTAACAAAAATGCATTACTTGAATTAACCTTGAACTTGAAACATAAAACCTATACACAAGTCTTTCTATCTGTCTGCTTTCCTGCTTATGTTTCTCTGTACTTGACTTTGTCCATCTCATTTTACAACCTTTGATTCCCAGATTAGGAAAAATAGTTCCAAAATTTCAGTGGTAAGTTTGTTTGATTTATTATCTATCTAGTTATGCATCTATGTCATGGTTTCCCAGGTTTTTTGTGTTCTGTTCCTTTTGTGTTAGTTTTGCCTTAGTCTTGTTTCCTGTTTTTATTTTGTTGGTTCATTCTCTTGTGCATTCTGTCCTGTTACTTCCTGCTCCTTGTCACACCTGGTTTCTGTCTCATTGTTAGCCGCTCAGTGTACATATACCCCTAGGTTTCTTTATTTCCCTGCCAGATCCATGTTGCTTCCCCCTGTGTCTTCCATGTAGTCTGTTACATTTATTTATTAACAGACTACTTTACCTGCCTGCCTCCTGACTTTGTTGCTGCATTTAGGTCCTCACCATCCACAACTCGTGACATCTAGGCCAATGTTTTAATACATCATGCACATTAAGGAACAAAAATCTAGCTTTTGTTGTATCCATTAGTCATGCATGTGTCTTTATTGCCTTATTTTCCAGAGATGGGAAAAGCATTGAAAGGAACACGGTTAAGAAATATCAAGATAAAGGTGCTGAGGAGGAATATAAATGGTTGTGTAAAGGTTCATTACCTTACACATAAAGACATCCCCAAGCCCAGCTCCCAACAAACAGGCCTTTTGGACCCCACACTTGTTCCATCAGAACAAGATGAAGCAGCAGGCTGTAGTTCATCTTCTGAAACAAGCATACAGTAAGGCAAAGAAGAGAGAACTAAATGCCTGGGATGCAGTCAAGGAGGACATGCTCCAAGTGTTCTGTCTGCCAACGGCATGCTGATTATAGGTGCTTGGAGTGCAGCACTACAGCAGTCCTTTGTGAAGCCTGTCTGAGGAGGACTCACCACAATTCATTGCACATCCCTGATAAATGGAATGTATGAACAACAGCATTCACTCACACATGTATACATATAGCAAACTATTTGTAAATCTTGTTTTAGCACGATACTACAATTTGTGTTGTCTTCAATTACTCATTCCCAAAACTATTAGTTAAAGTTATCTTTCTTTCAGAATTCTTCTTATGAACCATCCTACCAGGGGCTATTCCTGTATTTACCCGAGGGCCATGAAAACCATGCTGTGTACAGGAAAGATATAAAAGTCATTGTCAACACAGGTTTGTCATTTTATAATGTTAAAAGTCATGTGTTTAACTTTTCAAGACATTCAAAGAGCTCTACTTTGAATTCGTTATTCTTTCACTCATTCATACTTGGTGATGGTAAGCTACTTGTATAGCCACAGCTGTCCTGGGCCAATGAGTGCAAATGGCCACTGTCATGCTGCCGTCTATAAATAAGGTTGTCTATCATCATCAATAGACTATTTTATTGTATTCCTTGGTTATGTTTTTATGTTTTTTTTTGTTTTGTTTTTGTTTTTTGCAGGACGTCTCTGCACCATCCTTGTAGATATGTGCGAGTGTGAACCTGAAGCCTGCACTCTTTGATATCCCACTTTAGGCATCACCGCTTCCGACAAAGGAGTTTGGTGGATATTTGCCCTCAGTTTGATGATGGGACCACGTGCCCAGCATGTCCAAAGGTGGGTTCTACTCCTAGCTAAGTTCATGTTAGATTACTTGATTGCAGTTCCCATGAAATGATCAAATTGAATCAATGTGAAGTGTTACATTTTGATATAAAGGTAACAGTATATGTTCACCATCCTGGTATGAGTGAATGAGGGAACTTGTGCATCTTTTTTGTTGCACCAGATACAAAACCAAAATTACTCAAGTTATTGTTTCCTAGGTGGACGGAGATATGATAGTAACTCTGGACATTAAGAGTCTAAATGATGTGCAGAAAATTGTGGAGAACATAATTGCTGTGAATGCTGAATCATCAAAGAATCAAAATATGAACACAAATAGCCATTGTGAGGACAAGGACCCAAGGTCTAACTGAGACCTGTATATACCTGGGTGTGTATATCTGTATTTGGTTTACGGTGCTTGTATATCTATGTATTTTTTCTATTTTGGTTTTTGGACATGTGTTTGTATTTTTTTTTCTCTCTTTTCTTCCAAGACTTGAGTGCTTGTATTAGATTGAATAATTGTTGCACCACACCCACCTAGGCCTGTGGCCAATTTCTTTAATGATGACTCTTTTAGGTCTGTTTGTTGTTGTCATTGACTGTTTGACTCTGAAGAAGACGCATGTGCGTCAAAACGTTAGTCATTGTTGACCAATAAATACATTAAAAAAATTCTGTGCTCCGGTCCTGCTCCTTGGTCTCAGTTAGACCTTGGGACCTTGTCCTCAGATTGTTGTGTCCTGTTCCGAGAGCACGGGGTAGGCTGAAGCGCAAGTGATTCCTTTCGATTGTTCTACGAATAGCCATTGTGTTCTGCTCCATTCGCACTCGTGGTTAATAATCCTAATCTACAACAATACCACTTATCAAATCAAATTAAAGGCAGGACAGACACGCATCCAGAGTACAGTAACATGCAATGCTTGGACCCGTCTTGGGGAGGGACCAATGCCAACTGTTTTTGATTGACATATGACCATTCAATCATTTTTTCATCCTTGTGAAATGACTGCTTGGTGTTTTTCAGTCCTGTATGTTCACCAGGTTACTAAACGTTGTTCTTTTGTGCTGGATCATCTAATTAATTGGTAACAAACAGTTGTTGAAGTGGAATTAAATCAAAATGTATTTTAAAAACATCATGGACCTTGCCTTTAAGTTCCCTTCTTTCCAAACCTGTAATTTCAGCTGGTACAGATTTTTTTTTTTGAGCTCCCTCATTTCACTGCTAAGATCTTGCCCTTGTGCCCTCACATAGACATACTGTATACACTAGACCTCACCTTGGCTACGGCAGTTCATTGGAACGAATGCGTCAATAGAGCCGCCATCTTGAAACAGGGGAATGGAATATCATTGATTCCAGAAATTATTATTTTTTTCTTTTAAAAACATTCTTCCTAGTTGAGATTTCATCCGTGAACATCATACGCTGCACAAAAGTCCGCCACCATCAATGAATTCGAAGTAAAGGCAGAGATAGCAGCGTTACCTAGCTACTTCCTATGACAAGACCCCTGTTCCAAGATGGCGGCGGTTTTGACGCATGCTTAGAACCCCAAGGTGAGGTCTAGTATATATGTCTATGGTGCCCTCAGTGCAGCTGCTTCATGTTTATATTTGTCTTTCTGCTTCTCCTCTAGTGTGGACCACCTGCCCTTTATATCCTTCATAGTCCCTGAAGAAAAATGAATGCACAGTAAACTTAACACTTTACAGTCTGCAGAAAATGTGTCTGACACCTCGGTTTGCCCTTGGATTGTGAAATCCACCTTTCAAACAATAATTTGTAAATACATCAACAAACAGACCAGTCTTATGTCAATCTATGTAATGTAAAGTGCCTGCCAAATAGTATACTAAACATTAGTTTCATGACCCTTGTGAACCACTGATGAAAACTGACAACATGAAATTCTATGACAATGACAAATGACAAACAGTCCCTCTCACCTTTCTTTCTGAGAACATCCCTGCAAAAAAGGTTGTATGGTGACAAATCCCGAGTGTAAAACTTTGGCTTTGAGGGCCGGGTCTCAGAACCTTTTTGGGATCTCTTGTAATTTCCAATCCAGTTCTGAAAGACAGTAAACAATATTAATGACATGGGATTGTAACCCGTTAGACAGCCCCAACAAAGTCATGGACAAAGTCAAGTACAGAGAAACATAAGCAGGAAAGCAGACAGATAGAAAGACTTGTGTATAGGTTTTATGTTTCAAGTTCAAGGTTAATTCAAGTAATGCATTTTTGTTAGTGTAACATATTCCCATAGGGAAATGTGTATTATTGTATAACCATTTCTATCGCTATAGAAGGTGGTAAGTAAAAATTGGGCTACAGAAGATAAGGGTTCGTCTCAAGGAGGCATTGATAGAGTAATTAAAGACACAAAACAGATCAGTTCAGTTTGGTGTTGGTACCATATATTAAGTGAACACAAAGACAAAACAACAACGACAACGCAATACCCCAAATTTTCCAATCATGCAGAAAGGTTCAATAATTCATAGAAACCCAGGCACAATATTACTCAGAACTGGAAAATATATTCATATAAAAAACGGTCCACAACACACAAGAATTGTCCATAGGATGCAATAGTCCATGAGCTAGAATTCATCTAATGGCTCTAAGTGTGTAGTAGTGTGTGTGTACGAATAAGAGTAGAAGGGGTGAGCAGACTACAACAGCCTCCTACCAACCCCACAAGGTAATGATGTTACTGGGCCGGTTCTGTTCCAGGTAAATAATGGCTCGCCATCAACTGGCCCGCACTGGTCACACCTGGCCTGTATTAAATAAACAGGACCCATGATTTAGTCACTACTCATACAATTGATCTACTAGCTAGGTTTTTTTTTTTTTTTTTTTTTTCACTCTTATTTTTATTTTTTTAAAGTCAACACAAAGCATGGTTATCACAGTTTCGAGTATGGTTACAAAAGGCAAAAAAAATAAAAATAAATAAATAAAAATGAACAATAAAACAAAAGACAGCAACCAGATGTTATGATAGAAAAAAAGACAAATAAAAATAAAACCTTCAGATTACACAGTTTCTAATGCTATTTTATATGCTATCCATTTGTGCCATTTTTCTTTAAATTCTGCTTCTTTCAGTCTAAGGATAAAAGTCAGTCTTTCCATGGTAAATATATCCTGCACAATGTCCATCCACTGAGTATGGCTAGGTGGCTCAGGTTTGAGCCAGCTTCTTGTTATCGCTTTCCTCCCTGCCGACAGTAATATCTTAACCAAATATCGATCATCTTTCTTTACATTGGTCAAAAGGCCCAGATACATTGTTATAAAAGTTAATGGTACAGAATACTTCAGTACTTTGCAAAGAGTGAGATGGACAGAAGTCCAGAAAGGTTTTATTTCAAGACAGTCCCAGAAAACATGTGTGTGATTAGCATCCACAGAACCACATTGCCTCCAACACACTTGCTGAGTAGCCAATTGTTTACTTTTAATAGATGGCGTGATAAAGAATCGTATGAAATTTTTCCAATTGAATTCTCTCCATTTTTGTGAATTTGTGGATGTCTGTGACAACTCACAGATTTTGTACCATTCCTCATTTGAGATCTTGACAGCTGCTTCTCTTTCCCACTTTTCTTTGACATACAGGGTTGTGTTTTTCTGACAGGACATTAAGCTAGTGTACAGCTTTGAGGTAATTTTGTGTGTTTTCTGTTGGTATGCTCCACACATAATCTCTAAAACAGCATTAGGTTCATTTCTGTCCTTAATTTCTTTATTATAGTATTCTCTTAGTTGTAAGTATCGGAAGAAGTCTCGATTATCTAAACTAAATTTGTCTTTCAGATATTGAAAATTTCTTATTTCTCCATTATTAATTAAATTACAAAAAGCTGTGACCCCTCTATTGATCCAAAATTTGAAATTTGAGTCACCCATTCCTGGTTTGAAGTCTTTGTCATGCGCTACCCATCTTAATATTTTTCTTTCTTTCTTCAGTTTTAATTGTCTTGCTACACTATACCAAATTTCCATTGTGAATTGTGCAATTGGGTCAAGTAATTCAGTTATATCGGTTGGGATATGGTCCTCTCCCATGAGTGTCTGAACATTGTACCCAGGGATGCACGTCTCAATCTCTTTCCATTTGGCACAGTAACTAGGGTCACACCAGCAACACAGGTAACGCAATTGAGCTGCATAGAAATATAATTTTAAATTAGGAAGGGCCATGCCCCTCTTATCCTTTTGCAGCTGTAATGTTGAGTACCTAACTCTAGGCCTCTTCCCCTCCCATATGAACTTCGATAACAGCTTATCCCACTCGTTGAATTGTTTTGACGGTATATTTACCGGGAGGGATTGAAATAAGTAGAGTAGCCTAGGGAGGATGTTCATTTTTACCACTTTTATTCTATCACTTAAATCAAGTGGGTAAGTAGACCATCTCTGAATGTCTATTCTAATACTTTCGTTTATAGGATTATAATTAAAGTTATATAATAGTGAAGAATCATTAGATAGAATCACTCCAAGGTATTTAATTTTGTTAGAGCTCCAATTTATATCATATGTGCGTGCAGTTTCATTTGAGGGTGAATGGTTAAACAGTAGCATTTGGGTTTTGGAAATGTTCAACTTGTATCCAGCATATTCATTATACTTTCCCAAAAGATCCATCAGTATGGGAAGTGATATGTTAATATCTTCTAGAAATAACAATATATCATCCGCAAATAATCCGATCTTTTGTTCTCTTTCGTTGATCATAATCCCCTTTAAATCATCTTTCTCCCTAATTGCTTGAGCTAGTGGTTCAATGTATAAAGCAAAAAGGGAGGGACTCAATCCGCAGCCCTGTCTACAACCTCTACTGAGTTCAAACCGGTCTGTCAGAGATCCATTCACTTTAATTCTTGCGGTTGGCTTATCATAAATTGCTCTAATACATTGAATAGAATCATTAGTAAGGCCAAATTTCTCCAACGTTAAATATAAGAAATCCCAATTTACTCGATCGAAGGCCTTTTCTGCGTCGAGGCTGATCAAGGCCGCTTTAAGCTTATTGCTGGAAATATTGTGAATCACTTGCAGACTCCTTCTGATATTATCTTGAGTTTGCCTACCAATTATAAAGCCAGTCTGGTCTTCATCAATTAAATCAGAAATAAAGGTTTCAAATCGTTTAGAAATAATGGATGTATATAGCTTATAGTCCACATTTAAAATTGATATTGGCCTATAATTGGCACAATTATCTCTATCTTTATTTTCTTTGGGGATCAGGGTAATAATTGCTTCCTTCCATGAGGGAGGGGTCTTGCCTTCTTTGTGAATGTAGTTTAAAGCTCTAAGAAGAAGCGGCTTCAATTCTACCTTAAATGTCCTGTACCACTCGCCGGGGAAACCATCACTACCTGGGGCTTTATTTGC